ATGGATATAATTTATATAACTTCAAAAATTCCTCCCAACACTGTTTATATGTTAGTAGTGCGATAAATAAACTTCAACATACACGTTGATTGTTGAAACAAGTAGTATCAGCTGCATGCGTCCGGTATCGAAGTTTCAGTACAGTGATACAGACGGCGGCGATACCATTTGATACCGATACAGCGACACTGAGACAGACAAATACACAGTGAGATTTATATCAAGATACTGATACTTGCAACATGTATCGATACCGATCTCAACGTGAATGGGACCCTTTAGTATCATATTATCGTAAATCTCATGTGTGAATAGGTACTAATAAAAATTATGTAAAATGCTATGTAAAGTTAATTGACATAAACTTTGCATCTGTTTCATAATGTGGTTTACATTGAGATATAAATTTTACATAGGGGTGGTCGAGGGCCTGCCTACCTCTGCCAGGTCAACCATCCTTTTACTCTTAGATTTTTTTTTTCGACATTTTCCACTACTTTCATGATTCTTGATGCATAAGAAGGTAGGTATGTACCTTATTTAAAAAGATGTTCCCGACCCTATATCAGTTTTTCGTGAAACTTTCAAATGTTGGAAACAGAATTGTGCCTTGTTTCGTTCCAGTTCCAGGGATACCAGCTTTGTTTTGGTTCGAAATTTGGAACGGTTCTGGGATTGCGCAGAACTGCTTGCGTACAAAAAATAATAGAGGATTGTTCTAATACTAGTTCTGAACTGATTCGGAACCAAAAAAACCAAAACACGCCGCAAATCACAAAATTCTAAAACAGTTCCTCCTTCAGAGCAAGAACTGAGAGAACCGTTCTAGAACAATCCCAGAATTGTGCATATATAGTTCTAGATAAACCAAAACACTGTCAACACAGTTCGATTACGATTCTGAAAAAACGAAAACGCGTTTTATAATATGCGCATGTGCATAATGATTCCGAATTAGTTTCGAGTGAAACCAAAACAAAGCTACAGAGTGAAATAGAAATTTTGCGCTTTTTGGGGTGGAATCAAATTTCAGACACTCAGGGCCAGTTTCACAAAAAGTGGTAAACCAACGGTAACTACAAGACAATCTACAATATATATCAATGTAGTCAACCCGCAACAGGGGCGGATGGGGAGCATAAAACCGGCCCGGGAAACTGTTGGCACCGGCCCGGCCTGCCGGATTTTTAATTTTTTATTTTGGGGCTGTTGTGATTGTGAATGAATCGCACCGCAGCCATTTTTTTTTTAAATTCAAGGTCACGCAGCTTCAAAACCTACTACCTTTTCTACGTTATATTCAGGATGACGTCATAGAACAAGGACACACAATGTTGTCAATGGCTATTTTTTTTTCTCATAATTTACCAGGGCCCGGATTCCGAAACCTCGATTCGATAGTATCGTCTTATGTATGAATATAGATGGACGATAATATCGAATCGTGAGTTCGGAATCCCGGCTCAGAATGTCATAATAAATTATCAAGATCACTGACAACTAAAAATAACGAAATTAATCGACACGCGTTATTTATTTGAAAATGTTTATATAAATTAAGCAACGTCGAACGCCGTTGCCAACCAAAATCATCTGATACTCCCCTACTTTGAATGCCTTAAAAAGTACTTTTAATTTGGTTAGGTTGGCAGCAGAAATTTACTAAATGTAACGTTATCCTAAATATAGCGTAAAAATTCTATAGTCCCATTATTTACTAAAAATGTTTCTGTCTGTATGTCTGTCTACCTATGTCCGTATAATAGACTTTGAAACCATCCGACCGATGTGCCCCGAACCAGTTTGATATGAAAGGCAATAATGAGAAGAAGGTTTTTAAACGACTAATGACAGGTGTCAACTGTCAAATGTGACAGGTGCAGATTTGTGAACTACTTCTTCGCAACGGATTTAGCCGAGTACTCATAACTGCGAAATTCGCATTTTTTTGACATTGCGTTGACAATTTGACGTTTTATGCGTGTATCAAACGTCAAATTGTCGAAGCAATGTCAAAAAATGCGAATTTCGCAATTATGAGTACTAGACTTTTTGCATAAATTTTGCATAGGTACACTTTAAGCTCGGGTGATAATACATTTTGGACTACTAATGACAGGTGTCAACTATAAAATGTGACAGGTGCAGATTTTTGAACCACATCTTTGCAACGCGCCAGCAGGTATCCGCTAATATATTATAAATATAATACAAAAATAAATTTAAAAAAAATAAACTCACGAGTTGAGTTAAATACATCTATCTATACATTACTTAAATAATTTGTGTTCTTTCAATCCAAAAATGCTGACAGAATATTGAATTGACTTTGAAATTCACAAAAACTGGTAAGAAAGATTAGAAAGAAGGTAAAAATTAATAAAGGTAGAAAAGTATATTATGATGATGATATTGAAAAAAAAGGGTTGTTCTCCCAATAGCTAAGAGGTTGGAGCTCCAGATTAACAACTAAAAACGACAGATACAACAGTAAACAAATAATTTGCGATCCAACATCCAAAAGGTCGATTTTTGCAGGAAATGCCTGGTTGCCAACAATCTGATGTGATTTTCAATATTAACTGTGTTCACGGATATTATTATTTCAAAAAATGTTTTAACATAATGTCAATGCTTTTTTATATCAATCTTTGTTGAAACATAACTTGAATGCCTTTTTGAATAGGATAGTTAGTCTTTTTTCAATTTAAATTGCTGGAAATTCTAGAATAACCAGGAATATATTACTCGAAAAACGGCACATCGGCAACATTGCATCTACGAGCAGCCAATCAGATGATCCTATGTGACTTATGTCATCCATAACGCATTTGGCAGTGTTGCTTTGAAGTGATAGGCTGATTTTGTGATTTTGAGTGTTAATCATTGGTATTTTTGGATTTAAAACTGTGGAAAGTGTGGTGAGGAACGTTAAAATGGTACGTCGATGTATTATTTGTAATGATTCCAAGCAGATTCGGCGGTAAGAAATTTGACATCATTTTACTCTTGACATTGGCGTAGTTCGATAATATTTACGGCAATTTATTGTGAGTAAAACTTCTATTGGATTCTGGGAAAAATTCAGAGGAAACTAAATACGCCGCCACTGAACAGTGTTGCCATTTTATAGGTCTATCTCTCTCTTACTTATGTCATGGATTTCAAGATGATTGATTGTGAACATTGGGCGATTTCTAAATGGCCTACGTGGATGAAAAAAATAAAGAGAAAAATATTTCCCCCTCAAATCAAAAATCGGCGTGCTCGAGCGTTTTTCCAGATTTTCATTTCAAATCGAAAAATTCAGGGTGAACTGTTTTCCCTGGCACACCCTGTATATGCTTCCGGGCCGGTCCAACCGGTCCGGAAGCAAGCGGCCCTTCGGACTTCGGGAAACTTCCCAAAATCCCTGCCGGCCCATCCGCTCCTGACCCGCAACTATGAGTTTGATAACTAGTGCAGTGCAGGTGGTGCAGGTTACCACCTATTGTGAAACTGGGCCTCAATCCCTCAATAGTATAAATTCGCTCTGACTGGTTTGTGATTTCTGCAGAAACAGATCTAACAATACAATGTATAGATTTTCCTTAAGGGGGTTTTACATGCTGCAAGAGTACCTGCAAGTCGGTACAAGTTGCAAGAACTCTTGCAAAAGGCATGCGCAGTTGCAACCCAGCTGATGACAAGTCGCAAGACTTCTTGCAATTGCAACTTATCGGTTCTGTTCGATATTTCTGCAAGTGCAAGACTCTGCAAGACTATTTTTGGGGGAAAATTTGGTAATTTTTGGCATGCCAACTTTCAATAAAAGTTACTACTTTTGAAATTATGTTTATATTTTATAGATTAATAAGGATAGATTAGGTATACCTACTTATATCAGAGCCGTGTTTGAATCAACTATCAACTTAAAATACAAATAAATCTAAGTAGAGATCATTTATTTATTTAATTATAGGTACACTGAAAATAATCTACTTTTATAGGTAGATAGATACCTCGGTAGGTACCTAGGTTTCATAGGAAACAATAATGATATTAGGTAGGCACCAATGACAATGAGGCCTATGATGTATCATGTCCTGTTATTTTAACGGCTGTGTTAAGGCTCAACATCTACTTCCGTCTCTATTTTGACGTATAGAATAAACAGTGATAGATAACTTAACGCTGCCGTTAAAATAACAGGAGAGGATACATCAAAGGCCTGATTATCTGTTTGAATCAATTTTAATTTTGAATATGCAGGTAGAGATATTTTATTTTATTATACTGAGAATCATCAACACGTAGGTATCGACGTATCGTAGGCAAATACAATGGTTTCTTGTAACATAGTGGAGGCACCAATAATGATGCAAAGACTAGCAGCAATAACCTTTTTTCTATTTCTACTATTAATTTTTGAGATACAATACGATTCATTTATAACATACAACAAAAGTAATAGTAAACAAGTACCAACTACCAACACCAACAAGAATAGGTATTGAAAAGTAAGGTTCTGTTTTCCTATAATTTTTTTTTCTTTATGTTGGCAGAAGAAAGCAATTAAAAGATTTCAAAACACATGTAAAACCAAATCGCAAGACGGCGCAAGAAATCTTACAGAAAGAGTCTTGCAGGTACTTGCACTTGCACCGTCTAACTGCAAGATTTATTGCAGCATGTAAAACCCCCTTTAGATTCTCGATTCTCAGACAAATTACAGATTTCTTTTAAATTTTTTCGTTTGATCGGCAACGTCATCTATCGGCGGTTCTTCGAGTAACGAAATTTTCCTACTTTCATCCGCAACATGGACGGCTATTGATATTACAGGTCTCTTCATCACTTGTCAATTGCAGTCACTGGACAGGTTTTTAGATTTTATATAACAGATTTCTTTAATTCTAGTTGCAGAACAAATTAGTAGATGGTAGCACCTCAATTTTCTATCTTTGTCTAACAAATATTTCATCTTCCTTGCACATATTTATGGAATCATTTGTTTTCCATCCGAGTTTGACAAGAGAAGGAAAATCGAAAGCTACTCAAAAATAAAAAAAAATTCAGCCTGAAAAAGCTGAAATTTTTCATGAAATTCAATCCTAGTCCGTGAAAAATCGTTCGCAAGTGTGCTACGTGCATCGGGGAATTGAAAAATGACCGTGTCCCGTGGGAATTTTGAATTTACGCAGTGGAATTGAGTGATTTTTTCAGGAATTTGTTTGGATTCTTCTGGGAGAACTGAAAAGTTCAACAAGAAAACGGGATTTTAGAAGGTGAGAATTTTCCAGTTGCATATTTATTTAAGTAGAAGAATAGAAAACGTTCGTTTTAATTCATGTAAAGGCATTTTGTTAATATTTTTCCATTAATAATTTGTTGAATAAACATTTAAAATTCAGCCTGTTGCTGAAGAAGTCAGCATCTAAAATTAGAAAAAAGTACTACTTTGGTTATTGGATACCCACTTTAAAATATTTCAGGAATTTTGCATCAAGTAGGTAGGTTTTTAATTTAAATTTAATTAATTGCAGCTTTGGCTCCTAGTTGGATGGCAAGAAAAATCACAGGATACCTAACTACATTGCGGTCCATTGAGGAAAAACAATAATCTGGTAAGTTTTTTTTGAATGTAGTTTTTCAAGATAGGTACCTACTATATTTTACATTCGATTTCACACATACATACTGCGAAAATAACCAAATTTGGCCTCAGGAAATCTTATTTGCAAAAGAACTACAAGAGTTTATGTAGGTACCTCAACCAATGAAACAAAATATATCTACTTTATTAGGTAGGTATCTGGAAAACTAAACCAATTTTTCATTATAACAAATCTTATAAGTTCCTAAATCCTAGAATAAAACATGTATATAAGTGACTTAATTGAGGACAAATAAACTTATTCCAACAATTAAAATAAACACACATTACTAAAAAATACTGGGTGGGTACCTTGGTAGGTAGACTTTGCCTATATAGTCTAAAAAATGAAAAAATATTTATCAACAGCATCACCTAATACTTATTTACCTACTTAATATTTGTTACAAATACAATCAAACATTATTGTCAAAAAATTCCTGCAAACTATAATAGGTATGCTTTTTTAGATAAAAAAAAACTCTTCAAAATGGTTTTAAGCCTCTTCAAAATGGTTTTAAGCCTCTTCAGTTCCTTAATTTTGCTTAAGTGAACAGGTAGTTAAAGGTAAATGATTAAACACCTTTCTTTTTCCTTTAAATATAACACTGAGTTTTGTGTCAAAAAATATTTTGTGACCAGCAGAGGAATCTGTATAGTTTCTATGTAGTTTCATAGGATCTGGAAAGATCTACATATATGATCATCAATTTTTGTGCATAAAATTTGCTGCTGTCTCCAGAACAAAAACAAAGTAAACTGTCAAAATGTATTGTTTTAAGAGTAGTGGGCTGCAGTGATCTCAATATACTCTTCCATACAGAAACCCTATTGCCATTTTCTGTACATGTACAAAAACCATTGCATCAAAAAGTATTTGTGAGAAGCAACATCCCCAGAAGGGTATGCCATATCAAATGTGAAATTCTACCAGAGAGAGATATACCATTTTAGAACACAGAATGAATACAGTTTGTCTGGCATAGCATCCACTAGCCAATTTATTGATTGTTGATATGTGTGGAAAATTTGAGCTGGCTGTCAACATGAATCCCAAGGAACTTGTAGGTGGACTTCTTTTCGATTAAGTGAGCATCTAGAGGTCATTGTAAACAAATTTAAATTTCCTGAGGTTGGTTTTGTTTTGAAGCAGAGAGAATTGGCGTCACACCATTCCTCAATTGTTTTCGAGTCCCTTAAGACTGTATCCTTTATGATATCAACATTTCCTTTCCTAGAAAGACTTTTATCATCTGCAAAAGCTGTGAATCGACCTTTAATGAGCAGTCTAAGGGCGGCGAGACCAATCGTTAGTTAAGTCCGAGGTAAAGTCCTTCTTGGCAAACAATTTTCTTGATTTCTAACATTCAAATACAGCAAAAATAAAATCGGTCCGAAAATGAACCCTTGAGGAACCCCATTTGATATAGGTACAGTTGAGGGTAGATATTTTTATTTTTTCATTATTTTTACATACTGTTCCCTTTCTGAAAAATAAGACCTAAATCATATAAAGGAAACTCCTCTAGAACCGTAGACATGCAGTTTGTTTTAACATATAGTTTCATGGTTTACACAGTCAAAGGATCTAGACAAGTCGCAAAAGACTGTAGCAACCACTTAATCCTCATTCAAAGCTGTGACAACATGATCCAAAATATTGAAAATTGCACGTGAGTGTTTTTGGATGGTTGAAAACCGAACTGAAAATTACTCAAAATATTAAATTTATCAAGGGGTAAACCAGCCCCTCAGAATTTGTGCAAACGATTCCTCAAAGGGAAATTTTTTACGCAAAATTCCTACAAATTTCTCCAAATTCCCCACAAATTCCTCCAGATACCCCACCACAAATTCCTCCAAATACCCCATCACAAATTCCTCCAAATAACACACAAATTCCTCCAAATACCACACAAATTCCTCCAAATTCCTGAAAATTCCTCCAAACTCTCTGCAAATTCCCCACAAATGCCTTTTACAAATTCCTTGAAAATCCCCATAGTTGCTCGTGATAAGAATTTTTTTTTTTTTTTTTTTTTTTTTCGCTCAGTGTTAAAGAGCAGTTTATCAAATGCAAGGTAACGTTGGTTTATTTTGGAAGTAGAGCTAATGATCTATTACCTAATCCAGAGTGCAGGGGTTTAAACTAATCAAAACCTGCATTTGATAATATTACAAAAAAACCAAAACAACAATAATACCGTATAATCCCAAGTATAATATATAGTCTGGCTAGCGAAACGGCGAACTCCAATAGAATTTGCTAATTTGCCAAACTTGACGGAAATAATGATAAACAAGTTGGTGACATATTTTTTTCTGCTATATGGGCATGTGTAGTATTTTTGAATAGAAAAAAATCCGGCAACATTGCGAAATGATGGATGTGGAGAGGCGTGATTATTCAGAGGTATGATTCTATTGGTTAGAGTCTGAACGACAGCACGCAGTGGCGTGGTTATTGGCGAAACTAAAGAATTTTTTTCTAATAATTTTATTGGCTTATTTCCTTGGTGTTTTCGGTGCTACTGAACCGAAAGACATGGCTGTCATCAGGTGGTGTCAGTTGAGGTGTCAGTGAATATTTTTAGGTTACGCCCCACTTTTCTTCCCCCTTTCGTCTCTACCAAGTTACCACTTGCCAGACTATACATGTAGCCACTTTTTAAACAACTTAGGTATTTATATTGTTCCACAATATTGAGGATATATTGTTTCTTTTTATCCTAAATAGGCCGTTTCTCAAAAGTTGAGCAGGACCATGAAAAATAAAATACACCTGAACATAGTTTAGTGGTTATCATCCTTTTCAAACTAAAGTTGGTAGGTGTTATCAGGTACAGGACACAAAAAAAACAAATTCCTTTTTCAAAAAATTGTCAACGTTTCGATGTATCCGAAATCTTTTTCAAAGCTATTTCTCATTAGTAGTCCTGCACCTGATAACACCCTAGACAACACCTACCAAGATTAATCTGAACCTTGGCATAACCAGGCTGAGGAGGCCATACAAATGTGTCTTACTTAATTCCTTTTCCAAAAATTTGAGAATCGGTAAACCCTTTTTTCAACATTCAGCCTTTTTTCCATTAGTATATGAAGTTAGGATACATATTACTACATTGCATCAACTTCAATAATTGAAGTTGAATTCAAGTAGCTTGAAGTTTCTTTGCACTCATGGTCATTTTTAAGGAGATTTGGTACCTCTTCTGAAATTATTATCAAGGCGCTTTTAAATTTCATCCTATCTTCTTGAACAATGTCAGAACTAAATAATAAATGTTCACTTTAATCAGGTTTTCCAATGGCCAATAATTTTTTTCTCAGTATGCGATTTCCTAATTTGGCCCCAATATGAAAGGTGTCTTGGATGTAGCATTCAAATCCATCCAAGTCTAAAAAGTGGATGCAATTCCAACAGGTTTTTCCTTGGCAGTTATTGAAATTTTCAGACATAATCTTCATTAAGATAACAATTACACTCATTATTTTTTTAAATTTGGCCCTGTAAATCATGGAGTGAAATTTTGGGAGAATTTTTTTGATAAAAATGAATGTCCCACACAAAAGTAGATTTTTTTAAAACTCTCAATTGTTTGTTTTAATAAGAATGTGAATCTCAGTGACGTCATGATGTAATTACCCTACAATTTCCATTGGATTCCACATAAATTCCTCCAAATTCCCCATAAATTTCTCCAAATTCCCTATAAATTACCAAAATTCTCATAAATTCCTCCAATTGTCATGGGCTCTTTCACTAATTTTTGAAATTGGCATATTTGGATAAAGCAACTAAAGACAGAATTTTCTGTATTTTTACTTTTGAAAAATTCATAGTCCTTCTTGAGAAAACAGAAAAAAAAGAATTACCTCCAAATAAAAACCCAGAATTTATTTCTATGACGTCGCAGCAAGCAATTTGACCGTGTTGCCACTAATTGTCGACATTGAAAATTTGTAATAGATTTAATTCTGAAATGTTCGCAAAATATCATGAAAAGTAGTTAAATTAATCACTTATGGATTCAAGATTTTATAACTTTTTTATTGAAATTATGTTTAAACACAATTTAATACAATTTTTTATGTTTAGTTTTATTTTATTTTTTTACGTTGCACTACATCTAGTCACCACCGACAACAGCGCATTCGAACCTTTACCTGCTTTTACCACAGGGTACACAGCCGAGGCGGTAAGCTCCTTTGTAACAACAAGCGAAATGAAAAATATTTATGTGACGTCAGCAAATCGGCGCGTTTTAATTTAATTTGAATTTAGCCAATTTGAAATGCCTGTAAAAAACTTATTTAACCTTGTAGAACTTTTTTTTTTGGTATATATGCCTAAAATAGCCCCTCCTTTGGGATTTTATACTCAAATTACGTATTCAAATTTTAGTGAAAGACCCCATTCCTAGGTGGTTTGCCTCTTGAAATTTATTTAGGTAATCCAACATTCTCCTCTTGACCAATTTTTCTATTACGTTTGAAACTGTCAAAAGCAATGATATTGAGAGGTAATTTTCGGGCTTGTCAGCTTCACCTCTTTTATGTATTGGTACAACAACTGCTATTTTAAGAACGTCAGATTCAAAAGAAATATTTATACAACCAGCCAACACACAAAGAGCAGTCTCAAAAAGATTCTGAAGTAGTCTAAGTGCAATGTTGTCATAGCCGCTTTATTTAAATTTTTTTCAGTTCAGCTCAGCTATATTTGTAAGTTGTAGCCGAGGTTGTAGCTCAAAGCTACAATCTGTTTTTATATCAGATAAGTATGAAAAAGGATCTATGATACTTTTTAGATCAGATTGTAGATTGCTGGCAACCGCACAGTAGAAGTTATTAAGTATAAGTATCAGCATCCACATTGACCTTTGGATTGAGGATAACTACGAGAGTTTAACTTAAGATAGCCATAGCCTCAGGCTTAGCAGAAGTACAAAAATTAACACTCTAAGC